GTGTTACTGTTCGTCCACCACTTCTGGAATTCTGTAACGTATGGAACAAGCCTCAGCTGCAGTCTCCAGTTCTAAAAAAAAAACCCAACAACAAACAAACTACATTTTGCACAATAAAGGCACAATTACAACTCAACATCTCAGAAATAAAAATACATTTCAAAGATAAATCACCATAATCACAGTATTTCCATACTGTACACTGTCACTGCAGTGATGATGGTGGTGGTCGAGCCCAGCAGGAGTTTTGGCTATATGTCATTCAGAGAGCCATCTCTGTAAACAGACACTTTGAAGTCAATGTTCAACAGCAGTCTGGAAGGGCTTTGAACCGATTCACCAGGATGACTCACTCAGTCCACCTCTAGGACAAGCAGCGCCATGGCAACGAAATCGCTGGCTCTGGGAAAAAATAATGAAGCAGCAAACGTCCAAAAATGTGCAGAAACAGTCCAACACTTATGTTGCTGTTGTTTTGCTGCTGTAAAAATAACATCAGATAAACAGGTTGTTTGTTATTTGGACAGATGTCCAGAGAAGAGTTCAATATTTCTTGATGTTTTGAACAAGGGCAGCAATGGAGATGAACATAAACCTTTTTTTACAAATTGACATAAAATTTAAAAAAAACACCACAACCAAATCTCACTCTGATGTAACTTTAGAAGCCAAGTTTTTCCTTGCTATTTTGGGTTGAACTACAATTTACAGCAGTGTTTCTCAAATGGTGGATCATGTCCTAAAACTAGGTTGCAGTTATTCAGAGGAAGATCAGGGAAGATTATTGTACATCATGTAAGACCACCTTGTTGGTGACTGCAACCATCCTATGTCCTGAAGTCTCCAGGATTCTACTGGACAGTCCGGTTGTCAGAAATTTACTGATCTTATTCATATTTGCAGCCTCACCCACACTTCACCATTTATTTTTCTCTTTAGTGAATCAGAAGTTATACAACAGAGCGATTTCTTCCTAAAATCAACCTAAGACTATTGGGAAGCAGCTTTTCTTTTGAACCCAGTGAAGCATTTTGGTCTTTTCTACAACTTCACATTGCAACATTAACCTGCAATGCAATTTCACCAACCATTTCTTATATAATGTCTATGGTATAACTACTGCATTAAAAAATCTAGGTATTGTTAGTCACCTTGCTATGTTGTAGCATTAAGGCATTGGTTACCACTACGCTATTCAGGTTAGTGTCGAAATTGGGTCCTGATGAGAGAGTTCCAAGACTGGATCATTTGAGAACCACTGCTTTATTTTTTGTAGATACAGAGTGTAGAATAGAAAATTCTCATCTTTTCCATCTCTGTTGCTGAGCTCCTCTGTGTCAGAGCTTCTCCAGTAACTGACCCAGAGAACATTTGAAAGTGCAGCGTATTACAGCCGTGCAGAGCCAAAGCCGGGGGAGGAGAGCGAGCTCCAGCAAACAGACAAAACAAAACGAAGGGCAGATCCTTTAATAATGTCATAAAATGATAGACATGTCATTAACAATATGACATTTCCATTGTTTTCAAACAAATCTTTACTCTATATTTATTCAAAATAAAATTTGAGTTTTTTTTAACATACTTATGTACATAAGTGCAAACAAGGTGAACCTCACACATTCATATACACCTCAGTAAGGGTCGTCATGGCCCAGCACAGCTGGGCAGGCAGAGTCTTTTGGACCGTGTTCTCGACTGAAACTGAAACATAATCCTGTGTCTAGTGACAACTGTCTGTACACAGGAGCTGGACGTCCAGGACTAATGTCAAGGAAAAAGGGCGAAGATATTTCATTTACTACGTCCAAATGTCTCTGTGTTCCTTGCACTTGGCCAGCACGTCTATGTGGACCCCACATGGCTTAGTAACAGATACAGAGACAGACATACAGATGCGTGCCAACATGTTGCCAGCCCAACTCTAAATGTCAAATCAGGCCCCAAATATTGTGCATTTTGAAATCACAGACCCTATGAACTTGACTATCCATGGAAGTCAGGTGAAAGTGCTCGACTGGTTGTATACGTGGTTTGAGTCCATGTGGAATGAGGCTCATAGATAAAGTCAGTTACTTGTTTCTCAAGATCTCAGGGTCATAATCATGAATTCAAAACACATGAATCATGACCCCATGTGAACAGATAGAGAGAACATACTAGATTGGTGAAGGTCACTGATGGCACCAAGGGGTCAATCTCCTATTGGATGATACAGTTGTCATTCATATGTAGTGATATTTGTTCTCAGTTTTTGTTGCCATGCTTCTATTTTCTTTCTCTATCTGTCTACATGTGATCATAAGTTACAAAACCAAATTCACATCTAGAGAAAAGGACCTGGAACTGACAACCGAGACCGTGGGATTATCAGAAAACCAATAACTGTTGTCATAATATGAAGTAGAAGATGCTCGGTCTTCCCCAGCCTGTGTCCAGATCTTATATAGTGTCTACTGTGGATGACAAATCACTAAAATATTTGACATGTGCAACAATTTTGAGGCCTTTCTTGCCGTCACTTTACAACACACCTTACATCCACATAGGCCCCAAAGACAAACACTGGCGTCTTCAGCACATGTGGGCTGCAGTGAGTTAGTGTTGTGTTGTACGTTCACTATGGTAAAAAACATTTCATAATCATTATTATATCAAAGAGAGCCATATTGTCTTTTCTGTTGCCTAAATCATTCATTTGTTTTTTTTTTTGCTAACCATCACGGAATTCTATATTATTTCATTTCCATGCTGTAATTTTCTCGGTTGGATTCAGATTTAAACCCTATGTCATTTAATTACACAATTTTTTTTTTTTTTTTTTTTTACAAATAATTGAGAGACAAGGTGATATTTTAAAAACAAACAAACGGATGCTGAATCAATCATCCACAGGTTGAACAGAGAGATCGGATGTGTTTACATACAGAGAGACAACAAAAACACCTAAAAAAAAAGAAAAAATGAAAACAAAGGGTATTTGGTTTTACATGTCTCACTACACTTACCCCCTGACAACACCCTCTTGTGCATCTTAGTTCACTGTGAGTCAGCCATCTTGGCAGGAATCATAAAAAAACAATGATCTGCATTATTTTGTGGAAATAGTGGGAGTAGATAGGGAAAGTAGAAGTTCACTGTAGTGTGTACTTCCATTTACTGCTCTGTTAAAACTTTCTAATGTAGTTCACCCCAACAAGTGAGTATGACATCACAGTAGAAAGACCACAGCACAGCTAACCATAATAACAAAACAAATACGTAGAGAGGATCGAGCTGATTTCAATGTCGCCCGATAATTTTATCGTTGTTTATAGATGCATCGTGGGCCGTTGGGTTATATCGGGTGTCGGGGAACAAAAAGTGACTGTCGGGAGATACAACAGGCACAGAAATGTATCTGTATGATACACACTTGTACTTGGAAGTACAAGTATAACTCAGCTCTACTTTGTCTCAGAGAGATAAGATATTTCTAAAAGTAGTCACATCAGTCACTGACACTGAATATAATCTATAGAACAATACACATACTTGAATATGTCTTAACACAGTATCAGTGTGGAACCTTAGTGACCTAAGAAACAGCCTATTTATAGTGACTTCTTACATTTCAGCATGCCTGTCTTTAAGAGCGGCACGTGTTGAGTTTTTGCATTAGTTACATTCACGACACGTTGACATTTATCAAAGTAACGGTAATGTTCAGTGGGACAATGTTGTTATATCTGCAGCATTTACAAACATGTGATTCGTCGTCTCTTTCAACACAGTTAATTACACACACGACACACAGATTCATTAATTTTACATTAATATGGAGACAGCACAGCTGTCTCAGAGAGAGAGAGAGAAAAACAAGTACAGATATAATTTATTACTGTGATTATGCACCAAATAAACACACCTATCTTTGACCACTAGTCTGTTCTTACAGTGTATTGACAGCAGAGGTCTGAGGAGACTTGAAGGAGGCACATTTGAATTTGGAGTTTAGTTATTTTCAGCCCAAAGTTTAAATGCCTGTAATTCTTTACAGAATTTTAAAAAATCAGAATCCAACTTGCTTTGTCGCTTTTCTTCATCATTTGTCATCAAACATGATTTCTACTCTTTCTCACTGACTTTTACCAACTGTCTGGAAACTGTCACTCCGTCATATTTAGAGTCTGGCGACTTGAGACAAACACGTCACATTCGTAGAAAAGACGTCACAATTCTAAATTCAGACAGGACATTTTCAAGTTTTAATCTTTCTCCCTGAAGAGGCGCGGAACAGAAAACCTTGTGCCACTCATTCAATGTAAAAGGAGATAATAACACAAGAATCTTTGAAAAATACATGTCTGCATTAGAGAGACGGGGGTGAGGATGGGGGGCATTTTTCTGGTATTGCATTAAAACTGGGGCAGCTCCTTGCATAAAGTACCACTTGGCACAAAGACGAGGCACAACATCAGGAAATGAGTCAAGCTTCCACCTGACATCAGACTTAAAGGTTTCAAATGGACCAACTAAGGGTCTGCGGGTCTATGTTTGACTCTCATTAGTAGTCGGCTTTGAGAAGGGATGGGCATAACTGGTCAAACAGTCGACTGGTTCAATCAAGTCAATCAGTCTGTGACTTCAGGACAACTAACTGCCATCAATTCAGCTGCTTTGTTTTGCTTCTACTTCAAGGTTCAACTTGTTTTGCATTCAGAGATACACATCTACACACCTAATGTGGACAACTAGACCAATCACACCATACCATTCTCTGTAAACCCAGGAGATAGTTGTGAGAGAAAATCCCAAATTGTACTTTTTTTTTAGAAAATTACTGACAACCACATTACATCGTAAGTCTTTGTGAAGTTCAGCAGACTTGCAGCAGCTCATCTTCATGGTCAACATTCCTTACTGTGTTAGATGTTTAGCTGATGTTTCCAATAGTGAGCAGCATCAGAAGTGAACCTCAATACCGCTGGCTCACGTGATCTGTCATGTTGCCACATGGGGGCAGTAGAGCACTAGCTGCTGCACTGCAGAAAAGACTAACACAGAGTCCACAGTGGTCGTTCTGATCCAGTTAAAAGTAGAACAACCAACATGAGCAGAGATGTCTGACCTGAACAGGTAACTTGATAAAACCAAGCTAAAACTTGGAGTGGGGTTTGAGTCTGAGCCATAAAAATACATTTTGTTATAAAAATGTATATTATAATGAATTTAAGATTGATTCATCCAGAATAATATTTTCTAGAAATGCCCATCCCTGGGTTAGAGTTCTGGTAACTTGGACTGTAGGGGGAACCAAGGTTTACTGTTGTAAGGTCACATAAAAAAAAAAAAAACACCACACACACACACACACACACACACAGAAACAATTACTGTTCAGTTCAGGTTCTGATGCAAAGTACATTTTGCAGCAATTAGACAATCAGTACTCAGCAGTCAGGAGCTAACACATCTTATTCAAAACGACTTTTTCTGCAGTTTGTGTCTATACTTCAGAACATCAACAACCGCATGTCAAAATCTCTCCACTCATCTCCTGATATCATACATTTACCCAACCTGCCGTCAAACTCTCTATTTTCAGTTAGTAATATCCTGGGGTTGTGGGATTCTTTCAGTGAAGTTAAAAAATTTGGATTACTTTTGGAACATGAGTCTCCTCTGCAGCTGAGCTGATAAATCAAAGGCACACACAAAAAACTAATAATGAGTGACTGACGTGACATCGGGTCATGTGGGGAAATTAGAACAAACAAAATGGTTTCACACAAATGTTAATTTTTTTTGCTTTCTTTAAACATAAATACAACAGGACATGAAACACTCTTAACTTCTTAAGGACTCTAACGGTCCAACGCTAACATTTTATTTTCCAATTTTCATTGGATCACCTAACGTGATGGCTCCAACTTATAAAGGGCTTTAGTCCTATGTGTGTGTGTGTGTGTGTGTGTGTGTGTGTGTGTGTGTGTGTTGTCTGCTGTACCTTTAAGGTGTGAGCATGTATGGCTGTATGACGGAGCTCCGTTGCTCGGCCTGGTCAAGTCAGAATCCATCAGTATGGCTGCTGTATTGCCTGAACCATCGCAGATTTTTTCTTTTTCTTTTTTTTTTTTTGCTGCTTCTACATGATGATGTTTGACTTGGCCACTCAGTCAGTGTGTGTGCAGTGTGGGTGAGGCACATGTTTGCTGCATTCAGAAAGATGGCCGCCCTACTGTCAGGTTTTAGGGACTTAAACTGGTGTTTCGGGAAAGGCTTACTGAGTTTAGTGCCACTGGAGCCGCCACCAGCAGTTTGGGCACAGGACAGAAATGGGTTTCCATGGGAACACACTGGAGCTCCACTGGGTCAGACGTCAAAAGCTCTGACGACTCTACTGAGAGGAAGAGACAAAGGAAAAATACAAACATCAGAGTTTCATAGGTCTTTCTTTAGCTGAAAATGTGGATGTAGCAATCCATTTATCACATAATGATGTCATTACTTTGTAAACACATGTTTTTTCTGTATTATTCCTCTTAGATTTAGGCATCTGGAATTTGAGGCTATTTTACACTAAAATCACAAATTTTAAAATGCATGTTGTTCACATAAACTACAAAGGTAGTTGTTTCAGTTATTTATTGATGCTAATTTTAGGATCTTTCTGGGTGGAACGTAAACCCAGTAGGTGGCAGCAAAGCCTTTCCAGGAATTTTGTTTTGTTCAAGTTTAGTTTTTTGTTTTTTTAAATTTGTTGTTTTATTTTTTGATGTAGGACATAAGTCAAGTTTGTGGCAATGTGCAAAAAAAAAAAAAAGCGTCACCTCAGCCTGTCCTGTAGTGATTAAGTGTTCACTCAGACAGGTCTGTCCCCACAACTATTTATTATATCCAGTGGACAATCAATAGTGTGAAAAGCCAAATATATTGCTCTGTTTTTCTGACCTAGTTAACGTTCTACCAGTGTACTCACCCCATGGATCGAAACTATCTACATAATTAATAATAACTTTGTGTTTGTTACATTTCAATGTTTTTACAAAGCCCTGTATGGTTAACAAACAATCACGATCATCGTGAACATCATACAAAAACAACCAACATGTACAAGAAGACCTATATCTAAATCATGTATATGTGAAAACATCATTTGCTTCTTTTTAGAGCCACAATATATAACATGAACAATATTTTTTCTTTTTTGGAATAAATATTTTTAAAAACTAGGTCTGTGAAACTATTACAATTTTTATTCTAATTAATTACAAGGTACCTGTGGATTAATCATGGGTTGTTTAAGAATAATTGAGATACATTTACATTGCTAAAACCTGTTTTTTCTGTGTCCCTACAACTGAAGGACATATAACTAAAAGATGTGTGTTTCACACCTGTTGTCTAATCTTTTGGATTAGTCTGTAACTAATCCAAACAAAGGGATTAATAAAATGAAAACATTTCAAGAAAGAAAAAGCATAACAAAAACGTTCTCTTCGTAGAGTGTATCTTGACGATGGCTGGTAGAGGACGTGGAGATTTTTTTAAAACTTCTGTGGAGTCCTTCTCCTCAACAATACGAATCAGTCTGCAGTCCCTCACAGTCCATTTGACAACGGTGTCAGTCAGCTTGTCAGCCGTAGACTGTCTGTGATTCTGCTCTGACGCAAGCTGGGAGTCTGGAGCTGAAACCTCCACAAACACCTGGCTGTTGTTGAGATGGTATTTTAGGCTTGAGGTGCTTTGGTGAACCAAAACTTTGGGACTCTAAAAGTTCTAAAACATGTTGTTTTAGTTTGAATCCTGTAATTAGGACATAGGTGTGACACTGAATTTAAATTTGCCTGTCAGCATCAGGTCACATGACCCGTCGTTACTTGGACAGCCATGTTGACTGAGTTAATCTTGTTCATGTTCTCTCAAAGACTGGTTTACTTTTATTTTGAGGGCTCAAAGAACAAATGAGATGTGAACACAATACATGTGACACCACCAGTATGTTTCTTTCACTGGATGAGAAAAGATAGACCAGGACACACACACTAAAAGCCGTTAAAACTGAATATAACTGAAAGAAACAGCAAACCTGGTTGGAGGCAGCAGATTCAGCGAAAGGAACATTGGTGACGGGGGTCGAGGCCGACGAAACAGTGGAGGTGGTGGCACCGTGCATCATGGGAACTTTTATTCAGGCGAGTCAGACGACAGACAGAGGACGAGGATGTGGGCAGGAAGGGAGGGGGAGTGGGGAGGGGGTTGGGACCGGGGGGAGGACAGGGATGATATGATTACCATGACAAAATGTGTAGCATCCAAAGTCATGTGATAAATTGCCAGGATGAATTTGGACAAGTGTCAAGAAGTCATGCAAACAAAATAAGTAGAGATAAAGAAAATTACATATTTCATTAGCCAAATACTGACAAATGGTAGTCAAACAAACAAGGCAACACACAGTCATACAATCGAATCAGACTCTAGCATCTGATAATTGTATTGAATGGGCGAAGCATGTGCATGGAGGGAGAAATGGTTCAAAATGAAACAAAAATATTCCCTGTTGACTCTTTAGTTTACTGTTAACTACACTTTAAAAATGTACTCTTTTTAACTTACCGTTAAAGAAAGTCCGGACGGCCAACTAACTGGTCACTAGATAAACTGACAACTGTAATAGATCTGTACCTGGTCATTGTTGAGTGAGTTTTTATAAAGTCAATCAGATTCTCCAATGTCAGTATCACACACAAACACAAACACAAACACAAACACCCACACTATGACAGTAGACACAGCCTCACAGACTGACTTCTAAGTAAATCATTTCTTTTTCAAAACAGCCCTAATAAGAGTTTGTTTGGGGTGTTTTTAAATACGAGGCGGGTGAAGCCAGATCCAGTCACACGAGGTCACAGGAGACACATCAGGACGTGTGGTAATGACAGGTGAGAACAGCCGTACTGAACACTGTCCACATACCGTCAGTACCAAACCACGTCTATTGATTTATTGCACATTAAACACATTCTAAATAAAGACCAGCGATGCACCGTAGAAGGAAGAGCTTGGTAGCACTGGACCTGCACTGTAACCACTGCAGCTGTGACTACCTCAATCCCTTTATGGTCGTCTGACATTAAACCCTGTGTTTACTGGTCTATGAGTCAGTGTTGCTGGTGTGCACAGACACTCACCGGTGGGAATAAAGGCTGTAGGCTGCAGCTGCATGTTGGCCAGAGCCTGCTGGTAGTGAAACACATTGGGGTTAAAGACAGCAGACGCAGCTCCGTTGTTGCTCTTCTCTAAGATCGACCTCTTTGGTAGCGGCTGCATGACCCCTGGTGGCAGAGCCTGGTGGAGGACAGCCGAAGACAAGAGTGAAGGCCCATTACAGAAATGTGTTTGTCAGCAAACAAAAACACCTGGTTACACCACAGTGCAATGCAGTTTTACCTCATCATTACTAATGACCCTGTGCGAGAAGGAAAAGATGCTATTGATATCCACCAGAAGAGGGCACTACACACATTTTAAATTAGGGTAAAGCCCAAAGGCCATGACAGGGGAGAACAGCATGCTTTTTGAGCAGTTTGTTTTTGTTATTTTAATAATGAATAAATACAATGGATATAGCAAACAACAGTGTTTAATAATACAGTATGTAGGGTCATGACTTATGTTCTATTTTCATCCAGTATGTAGGGTCATGACTTATGTTCTATAAGTAACAGGATAACAGGATTGTTACTTAAACCTTAGCATTTAGACCATTAACATCACAGGAAACTGTTCGTAAAGGAAGTGCACATGATTCTGTTAATAGAACAGAGAAGGTCTATACCCAGACATTTTGTTTGTGTTGTCAGACCAGACTAATGTTGGTTTATGACAGGGAACACTCTGTGACTGTGAGAGTCAGACTCACCAGGCCTGTGTTGGTGATTGTGTTCTGACTGGCTTGGTGCTGTGCAGCCTTGATCCGGGCCTGCAGGTGAGCAGGGGGATGAAAATATTTGCACTTGTCTCTGCTACAGCGGCCCTTGATGTAATCCATGCAGACGATGACCGAGTTCTCGTTGCAGTCCACCATCCCTGCCTCCAGGGGGTGAGCGTAGCGGCAATCGTTCTCTCCTCTTGTGCAGTTACCACGTTGGAATTCCCGACAAACCTGGCGGGGCCAGAGGGAACGTCTGGTCAACATTTACTTTTCATCATACTTTGGCCAAACATAGAAACAGAGCAACTGCTCACAGCCTGCATACCTCCAGCTTGTCTGCGCGCACATGTTTTTGTGCAGAGGTGCCGTTGCCCATGGCTGCCAGGCCTGAGGGACTCCCAGGAACCAGAAGGGGAGCGCTGGGCAGCAGTTCAGGCATCAGGCCCATGCCTGGGCCCATGTGGCTCAGATAGGGACTGAACGACATACTGGGACTGGTTGCCAGGGAGTGTGTAACCGGAAATGTGGTCTGAGAGAGAGGAGAAAACAAAACAAGATGGAGCTGAGCTTCACAGAAACTAACACTTCAAGGATGTACTCACAGCACTTTAAAGTGTTTTAGACAGACTAGGAAATAACCAGATTGAATTACTCAAAGGACTGGCTTTATAAAGCCTAACTAAATTATTTTATTTCTTTCTATGAACAAAATCTTATCCAAGACCCATACCTCAGTTTAAGCTAAGTTCAAAAGTACAAAAAATTCAAATTGTTGTCAAAGTTTGTGGTAAAATGTTTTGCTTTATATGAAAAAAACAGAAATACATTTCTTTTCTCTTTCCTTCTATCTAAATTTTTTTTTTTTCATTTTTTTTAATTCTGATGTGTTTGTTTACAGAAAGTGTGATACTGAAGTGGGCAAATACGTATGTATAGATATATTTGGAAAATAAAAACGATCATTGTAATTGTGCTGATAAAGTTTTATTTATCAGAAAAGAAATAAACATTTTTGGAACAAAACTGATTCATATACTGTTTCTTCTCCTCTTTCTTCCAGTTGAAAACTTTTGCCTGCAGGTCGGACCAGTGGCGCTCGCACTGATTAAAAAGTTATGGCTTGACAGTTCTGTACTCACTATGGGTTGCAGCTGTGCTCCTGGCAGCATGAACTGCATCTGTTGGGCCAACATGGCTGCCGCAGCCTTCTGCTGGATCAAGTTGTTCCTCCCGTTGATCTCCAGCTGGGTTTTCAGGTGTGGAGGTGGGTGCAGGTATTTGCAGTTCTCACGTGTGCAGCGGCCCTGAGGAGGGGGAGGAGGGAGGAGAGTGATTTTTTCATCCTTCAGACAAACAAAATGAGCACGAAATATCAAAAAAATATGAAACTTTCTTTAAGGTTTACACAGTCATGTAAAAATTGTTTAACATAGTGAATCATCTGTAAGAACATTTGAAAATGATGTTAAAATGAAGCACTAATTAAATGCTAACTAGAGCCCACAAGATGTTACATTGCATTATTCATGAAGGCATTCTAAGCATGTACAGTAGAAACTAACAAAGTGCTGGAAAAATTTGAATTTTGCAATTGAAACCAATGTTTTTGGGTTTTTTTTAAACTATTTTTCATGTCTCTGAAAAAATACGAAGGAATCACACAGATAGTAACAGAATTTAAAAAAAAGTTTATGTCTACTTTCAGTCAAACATTGACATTTGTGTCATTTAATGTTGTTATTTTAAAGATGTTAAGGTAGTTGGCGAGGTATTAAAGCCAGGTTAAAATCTTTCTATTTCACCCTGGCATGAAAAAATGCTCAGTACCTACTGTACTTCTAATTGATCCCATGGATCTGCATTATGTAGGTAACTAAAAAAAAGAAAAAAAATCAGGAATCATGAATATAAACATTGCAGTGTATTTCAAGCATGTGTAGACACCTTTGCTTCAATAAATATATGATAGAAATGATTATTTTTTTGTTCTTTTAGAACCAAATAATTTACTTATAAAGAAAAACACATGATCTATGTAGTTATAGTAGATATTAGAATGTATTTAATGTCAGAATAGCTAATATTTTAGTCATTTGGTCTGTCACAGTTTAATAGAAAACAATAAGAACACTTTGAGTTGAATAGAGTTAAGTAACATATAAATGTATTTTGTGTTTAAAAGCTGTAGCTTCCTTTGTGTTATTAGCCTAAACAATAAAACTTCAAATTTATAAGTAGAACACAAGAAATAGATAAGTAAACCAATAAATATTAGCCGTAAGGTTATGTAAATAAAGGTAGTACTGTATAAACAGGACGTACAGTAAAAGTGTCAGGTTTCAGTAAGATTACAGCAGTCTCATGGTAACTGTGCAGACGTACTCCCCTTCCCTCCCCTCGTGTGTGTGTGTGTTCACTTCCCTTGTGACTATGAGTGGAATACTAGTATAAATGTACTCACTCAAAAAGTTAAAAATACTTCTATTTAATCTGTTGTACCTTTTATCTCCAATCTTGTTCATACCTAAAGTATGCAGAAAGGCAGTGATCAGTGTCTTTTATCAAGGACACATCAGCATGTAGCCTAGCAAAGCTACAAATCTGAGAGACAAAAGTTTGAGACTAAACCTTTACATTTCAATTGGATGTTCTATAATGCACCAATGACCAAAAGTAGTTCTTGTCTGTTTGTGGTCAGAGGTCAGAAGAAGGTCACCGGCTGAAGAGATGAGCTGTTACACCGAGAAGGTTTGCTGACGTTTTTTAACTGTGTTTTGTGAAGGACAGCGGATTTGTCAAACATACTGAATCACTGAAAGTGAATCATTAATAATTCTACTAAATGCTAAATGCTGAACAGTCACTGCTGCTGCTGCTGCTGAGCACTTATGCCTACAGGGCCAGCTTGTCCTGAATGCAAAGCTTTATTTTTACATATTCAGACTTGAGCAAAGACGACTGACAGAAAATGTGACTATGCAGACCATACACTTATATAACTTAAATAACTAGTTAAAGGGAAAGAAGGTACACAATATCTACAATGGTCATATATTACTTTTAATAAATACCAATATTAATATTGACTTACATATGAACAGAAACCCCAGATTGCTGCTCTTGTGTTCATTTAAACGTAACCTCATTGTTTGTACTCTGAAACTGAGAGCTAACTCGGGTCAGGTAAAATTACTAACCTGAGCCACATGCAAGTGATGATGCCTTCACTCTCCTAAGACAATTGTTGAAATCCAGCAACTTAGCTGCAGCTATTTAGAACAAAACTTACTGTTAGAAAAGGAAATGCAGAATAGGCTAATCATTAGCCTCTTCAGCTTTAACCTGATGTATCAATGTAGTGTACAAATGAAAACAAAGTACAAAGTACGGCTTTGTCAAAAATAGTATCTGCACAACCCTGCTTTCAATGTATCTTATTTTGTCTGGCGGCAAAGTAAAATTTATGTCAAGTCATTCTGAACAGTTTAAACATCTTAGTTGCTCTTTTTTTACGTTACAGATGAACTCCGTCTGCAGCAAATCATAACTGTGAGCTCAAGAAAATTTAACATTGACAACACTGATTAAAAGCTGATCAACACAGCAGTTGCTGATTATGTCCACGATTAAATTATGGACTCAAACACTTTCATTTTGTCATCTGTCATGGATCACACACTGGACAGTTCACTAGTCCATCACTGGGCCACATATAAACACAACAAACCATCCACACTCTCATTCACTCTCATTCTTACCTATGATCAATGGTAAATCGTCCAACTCAGTATGTTCTTTAGATTTATTTATAGATTTAACTGAACAAAAATAATTATTGCATCAGTTTTTAATCAGAAGCAATGCCTATTTCTTTTTCTTGTTCTTGTTCTTTGCATATTTTTGGCTTCCTGGACAATCCTGAATCAAATCTGAGCCATTCCTGTTTTTTTCATAGAATGCAATGCACTGCTGTGTCCTTTACCACCGCCTGAGTCTATGGGGAAGGTGAAGATGGTGCTGCAGAAACACTGCAGGGTCAACAACGCAGCAGCGCTCAGACAGTGAGAGCTGCAATCTGCAATAAAGCCCTGCTCTACCAGCAGATGTCTGGCCCTGGAGATGAGCTGTTAACCCGCTAAACTCACCTCTCTCATCCCCAGCCTCATGCTCTGTCATCACACGGACAGTGACGTGTCTGTTAAACACATCTGACAGAGCGCTAACGCAACTGCAAACAACACACTGATGACAAGCTGACGTCATGGTGCAGAGACTCTGACGTTGATGAATGATGTGGTGCTGAGTTGAGGACACAAAAAAATAAAAGGGTGTAACATGCAGGAAATGTACAACCTTCACAGGATCAGAGACACCACAGATGCTACAGCATCTGAGAGGGATTTACATCACACACCAGAAAAAGGGAAGAAAAAACATAGTACATGTCGCGGCCTGAAAAATGTTCAGGATGTCACAGTGCCTCAGCTACAGAGATGATGTGAGCCAGCATCGTGTCATTGAGCTGTTTGTTTAGGCATGAGTCTGTGACGAGGAGTGAAGGCCATGAGCATAACAAGCATAACTTTTATTAAACCTACTGATGAAGCCACTGCAGTGTGTGCAGCTTTATTAGGTCATGTTTATTATTTTGTTTTAATGGAAAATTATGACTCTTCTGATTGATTAAAATGTCAACGAAGAGAAGGATTGAAACATGCTATGTTGAGGAGAGTATTCAGTTAGGAATCTCCCTTTGGTAACCATGGCAACATACTACACAACAGAGAGAGAGAAAGCGAGAGAGAGAGAGAGAGAGTATCGGTAAGTACAGTAAAGCATTTAGAGGAAAGAAATACAAACACAAACAGAAGCTTTCACAGTACAACAGCTGCACAGATCTGAAACGGAGCACACATCACAGAAAAACATTTGATTTTGATTCATTAGATCACAGAGCAGTGTTGTTTGTGACCCAAAAATTAATCAATGGGCAAAACTTGGTGGGTCATGGGACCTGGCAGAACCAGTGACATCCATACTATCCAGTCAGACTTTCTACCCTCGGATGGGTCTTACACTGTGAGTTGTAGCCTACATTAAATTTTTTTACTGCCTCCCACCTTAAACTGCAGCTATTCTCTTTTTGTGGAGACTGTTTTATTGAACTCCATTAGTCAGCAAGTTAGCCGGAGAGAGAACATGTAGTAGATGCTCCATCAAGTACAAATAAGTATATCGCACTGACGTGTTATTACTGAGCCTAACATTTTGGTTTAAATTCTAATAAATATTAAGCCTACTATTGAGCTTGACACTATAAATGAATATAGTTAAAATGTCAAGAAATTGTCTTATTTATATCAAACAAAAACATGAAATACAATTAGAAAATGCCTACTGACCTACCAAACATGTTTACACCTTCTTTTAGTGCATCAAACAAAGACCTCTGAACAACGTACAAAAGAAATTCAAATTACAAAAATGTGTTACTAGTATTGGCAATATTATTGAAGATATAATTGCTATAAAGGAACATGTGACAGTAGAAGACTTTTATACAAATTTAAAAAATGTAAAAATATATTTTAAACCTAATTATACCTTTTATAGCCTGTAGCAGTTTGAAGCAGAGACAAGACTAAACTGTGCAAATAAGCAGAAATGTTGGACCTGACACTCAGTGCTGGCACCAAATTTTTACATAGTCTGTGACCACCATGAACTTTGACTGTCACCCTCTCCAGGTCTCACTCCTACTAACAAATGCAGGGGTCTGCAACAGCCAACATATATTCTTTAATGCCTGACCAGTGCTGTCATTGTGTTGGGCTCACCTCTTTCTATCGTACACAATACAAATACAAGCGGTACAGAGCCAGGCTGTTGCTCTGTGCTAAAAACAGCCGTGCCACTCAGGAAGATCAAACTATCCAATGGGTACGCTCTCCTGTGCTGTTGCTAGGCCCCCTCTTTCTCTCTCTCTCTCTCTCTCTGCCTCCCGCTCCCTCTCCATCTCCCTCCTGCTCTGGAGGACATAACACAGAAAAATGGCTGAATAATAAATTCTAACTCAATAAACCAGGAGACAGCAGCTGCACGCAGACAGGATCCCTCCCGTCTGGGTCTCCACTTCTCCACTGCAGTAAAGCTTAAGCTGGAACAAAACCTCTCTTAAAAAAAGGCTGTGAACTTGTACACATCCACTACAAACGCTAACACTGACACAGCAACAGCCTGCTTCCACATTCGACATAACCGTGCACTTGTACACAGTGGAGTATTTCTCAAAAATAAAGTGAAGCCTCATCACCCTGTCAGGTCTTTTATGATGTGAATGAATACTCAGAGTGCTGCGGAGCAGTGATAGAGCAGAGGAGAAGATGAGAGGCAAAAACCAGCTGCAGTGATGAAGCATCATGACCAAGTGGCCCACATTAGGGGAGGTGCAGAGCAGCAGATTACGTACATCTTCAGCAGATTGGAAGCAATAAATATATTGACATGAGAGGACACCTCATGGATTGCTCTGAGCTCAATATCCAAGGTTTATAGACTACAGTAAGAAAACCTAATGACATTTACCTTTGGTAAGATATGTGATTTTTTTTTATCTGAATTTCATGAACGTCAAGCCAATAATTTAAACAATGGGCAAACGGAGAGCAGATATAGATTAGACAGAGATCTTGCTGCTGTTTAAATGATTTTTTTCACTTTGTTATTTTAAAAAAAGTGAAGAAAAAAGTTCATCTTTTGTTGTACTTTTACTGAAAGTTCTTTTGTGTTATTAGTTTTAGCTTGATCTGTATCTAATTTTCATGTTCTATGACAGTACCATACATGAGAAAGGTAGCACAGAGGAGCCAGAGCCAGCTAAGAACAGTGGTAGTGGCAGTGGACATAAAGGTCAACCTCTAAGCTGCAGAGCGCTGGCATATTATCAAAGTTGACTGAATAAATATCTGACTTCTTTTGACTTCAGTCAGAATGATTTTCAAACTTGTTAGTATGGGCAACAATTACATTTTCACAACTATTACCACCAGTGGAGGAGGAAACAAACTGTCTGTGCAGGCTATGATTTAATCCACTGTCTGGTATATTTTTAAATAAACAGAATCCTTACTTTCTATGACTTAAAGTTGCATTTCTGCTTTAGATAAGCAAACAACATGGTGCAGTAACATGGAGCCCGCTGTAGGATCTGTGAGTTTGATTTTACTTGTAAATAAATACCACTCTATATGCATTAAAACATACACAATGATGGCACCGACAAAGCTCAACATCAGAGGTAATGTTCTCGTGTACGTGTTCACATTGGATACATCATTAACAAAATTTACGACCAACATATAAATAAACAAGGTTTTAAGCAAAGTAAACAGCAGCCAAGAACCTTTCCCATACTAATGATGATGGTGACGTTTGTGGGGGAAAATAAATAAATAAATAAGGTCTGACGTGTCTCAGAATAGTCTCACGACTATGACAAAGCAGAAACCAGAGGCTGAATTGTAATGGGTTATTATGAAGGTACCCGAGGTTATGTGTTACCTTTAACCCGTGGTGTCGGAATGATGACTGAATATTTTTCAAATCTAATACTCCTGAAATTCAGGACTTTGGATCAAATTTAGAATTGACTAGAATTCCATTTCTTTCCTTTTAGAGCTGAGTTCAAATGGTTACCACTGTCCAGTCATTCAAATTCAACTGGGACATTTTATGTCACAGAACTGAATTATGAAATAACATGCAATGCTACCAAGCGACAAAGATTTAAAATCTAAACTATACAGTTCATGTCTCCAATAATACTGGAGTAATATTGGAGAAGTGTGGCAGGAGCACACTATCACTATCACTATCCACTATCACTACTTTTCTTTCGTTCATTTATTACGTGTGAAACAACTTACTAAAATTTAACGACTACTTTTTCTTTAACACAGCTTCATGAAAACAATTACAACAATTGAACGGAGGAATCCAACTGCAGCAATGACACCCATTTTACAGGAGGAGGAGAAGGCCGCTACTTGCCTTTAGTTTAAAAACTAATTTTAGAATTAGCATATTATAATTTTAGCATTAGCATTATAGTTTTGGGAGCCTATCCCTGTTGATATCAGGCAGTAAAGAAGAGAAAGAATAGTACACAGACAACCTCACTGCACATGGAAGGATCTGCCAGTGTTTGGCTGGTGAAAGGAAGCCAACCCTAATGTCATAAAAAGTTGAGTATATCCTTCACGTTTTAAAATTTGAAAAAAATAAATAAATTGGAGTATAGTTCCTTTTCTGGTTAATATAGAATAATGTATCTTGTATTTATATTTGTTATATAAAAATCCACAAAAGGAATTCCAATCATTGAAAAAAATGGGTGAGTATAAAACCCCTAAAATACACCTTGAAATGTTTTAATGGCAGTGAGCAACATGTTAGGAACCAAACAGTTGATGCAGCAACTATCAAGGCTGAGTTCTACTGCATCGTCCAAACCCGGCCGGGATAATGAGTATGTCATTACGACATCACTATTGTGTGCCCTGCTTTTACTGTCGGCCTCTACTGTGACATACATGCCCTTAAACCATCTGAGGAGATTTTCAGATGGTAATAAGGTGTAATTAATTTACCAACTTACACATTTTCATATCTTCCTGGAGGGTATGGCTAAGCTGATCGTCATGGATCTTTCACACTTAACAGTTTTAATTAACTGTGGTCCCACTAAGTATATTGTTTTTTTGTACTACATGTGTTCAACTTTGGCTACTTTGCTCAAACGGAATGGTCTGTTTAGTAACAAGCCATTTTGTCATGTAGCTATATGGGTGTGTTTGTGTATGTGTCAAATAAGCAGGCACCAGCTTAACTTTTGTATTTATACAAAACTCTGCAGAGCTCAAAGACCGAAGGTACGGAGACATAAACCATAACATATGTCTAAATAAAGCTGATGTGATATAGTAAATGTTGACAATGTGTAGTAAGAGCTGCTGTATGACCTTACCTTCAGTGAGTCAAAGCAGGCAATGACTCGGCCGTTCTCCACATGGCAGCTTCGGGACGGGTGTGCAAACTTACACTCGGTGTCGGACCTGGAGCAGGTACCTCTCTGAAACTCCCGACACACTTCCAGGGTCAGCCATTTGGTGTCGCGTCCCATGGTCATGCTGACAGCCATAAGAGATACAACAGGGAACAGTGGTGGAGCCAGACAGATGGAAAAGTGTCTGAGCCGTGTGAAGGTGACTAACGATAACGCAAGAGCGGAAAAATACTGGAAACGGAGGCAAAAATAGTGTTTTCTCTGCACAAATAAGCAGTCAGTCCTCCTGATCAACGTATTGTGGGGGGTGTCTGTTGGTTTTTCCTGGGAAATGTGGCAGCTGAGGTTTCACTGGGGTGACATGGAGGGCCTTGGCCGTGAGCAGAGGCCAGCTCTGACTCAACTGGAGAAAAAAAAAACCAGCAGAAAAAAGAAACTACTTTGAGGATATCATTCTGGACTGCTTGGATATGTTGTTGAGCATGCCGTCCTTACGTCTGAATCAAAGGACACCCATGGTACGTCAATGTTATAGTCACGTCAACATGGCCCAGGCTGTGGCAGCCTCTACAGAGCTAGTTGTGTTTATAAACAGCCTGGAAAGGAAGGTTTCTGTGGAACAAACCAGCAGAGCCTTATAGGGATGCTTTCATCACACTCATGTGACGAGGCGGTTGTAGAGGCTCAGGCGATGTGGGGACTGCAGCTCAGCAGCACAGGATGGATGACTCTGTGGCTGTCAGGGTAAAATATCACCTCGATTCAAGGCCAAACACACAGTGGACTCTGTCCTGCCTTCATCCAGCAAAACACAGACGCCGGCAGACAACCGTGTGCAGTAGGCACTTCACAAGTTCCACTTCCTCCTTTTACTTCAGTCTCCTTCTCATCCTTCCTGCTGTGCCTTCTCTTCTTATCCTCCTCACTGACTGGTCTCCTGGGTGTCCTTGCTTGTTGTCCCGCTGTAGATCATTAAAAAACAAACAGAGGGGCAAACATTAATCCTGAGCATTAAAAAGCAGCAGCCTGTTGAGTGGAAAAATGTCAATGGGGGGGCCTTTGAAGAGCTCGTTTATGAACGATGAGGTTTGAAAGGCAGGAGCGCAGGCAGGAGTGGACACACAAGAGCCAGAGAGAGTACAGCGAGGACAAACAAACAGTGGAGCAGAGCATGCAAGAGAGGGAGGCAGGGAGGGAGGGAGGCAGCAGCAATGAGCAGCAAAGGGGCAAGCTATGTGTTGATAAAGTGATAGGAGTGAGAGTCAGGGAGAGAGAGAGAGAGAGAACGAGAGAGAGAGTAAGAGATGACGGAAGGAGATTGCAGGACAGATACATCACTTCAACTCTCCGGAGCTCCGGAGCAGAAAGTAAATGACTAACTTGACATAAATCCCCGCCGCAATATTGACGGAACGCTCTGTCCTTGAAGTGGCACAGGCTGGTACATGTGGCGAACACAGATGATTCCCAGGCAGTTATTGATGTGGAGGGAAAAAGTCGGAGGAGAAGGAGGAAAGAGAGAGAGGAGAGAGAGGGCAAGGAGAGAAGGTCTGAGTCTTCACAACTGCAGCTGCTGTGCTCATTGCAAAGGAAATCAACCAATTAGACAAGGTTTTGCAGGCAGGCAGAAGGCACGGCTGACCAATCACAGGACAGCTTACACTGCAGCTCCTCCTTCCGCAGAGCCCATCCTTGTTCCTCCCAGGTTTCCCCCCTCACTGGTACAGCACAGTCATGGCTGAGCCACATGTTAATATTCCAACTGTACAACAATGTGCAGTTGACTCCGGCAGAGCTCTGTCTTCAAACTGACAGTCGGAAGGAAATCAGGTCTGATTCAACACAGGACCACGGTCCTGAGTGATACAGCGATGGTGTGTGTTGTGAGTGAGACAGCAAGAGGGATGTGTCTGGACAACAACTGAATACAGATAACAATCAGTGAGGTGGCTGAATGAAAATGCACAACTGCAGTTAAACTTCCCACAGGAAGGCGAAGTCCAAAGTGCATTAAGGAAATGAGTACAATTAATAAGAATGGGGGGGGGAAAGGGGGATTCATGAATGCAGAAAACATTATTAATGAGTGAGATGCACGAGAAGTAAAAAAAAAAACAGGGATGATATTGTCAGTGTGTGTGTGTGTCTGACGGCTGCAGACACAGACAGAGGAAGGGGGGCAAGAATGAGTGTGAGTGTGTGGAAGAACGTGCAGCATAGCAGCCCAGTGTAGGAGCGTACTGCGGAGGAGTGGGAGAGGCAGACACAGGGAGGAGGCAGGAAGTGAAGTAATACATCCACCTTCAAACACAGGACCAGAGACACACCCCTGAACTAAAAAAAAATGCAGATGAGAAATGAACAGGTACAGTGATAGCTTTGCTTGTTTAAGACATGGGCAGGTCTGCGTCTCCTCCTTATTCTCCTCGGACTCCTGTTCCATTCTCCTGCCCTCCCACAGATCAATACAAACTTTTCCTCTGGGGAAAAGCACTTTGTACGCCTTGTCCTTCGCTCACTTCCACGTCACAGTCAAGGGCTCTGGCTTGTGCTTGCCCTGATGACGCAGCTTAACCATATAGTACAATCGACATCATCATCGTCCATAGGAGCAACCGCCTGCACTTCCTCCTTTTGTCATGCTCGCTGCACAGAACACCAAATGGCACACAGTTGCCATACAACCATTCTTGGAACGCTGCACAACAATAGTGGCGCTCCTCCAAAAAATATTCCCTGCACCACGTGATATGAACAAGTTACATTTATCCAAATATTTAGCAACTGTTTGACCAAGACTGTGCTTGTTGACAGTACCTCGAAGAATAATCTAGAAAGGATGGAGTTAAAAATAAAGTGGAATAAAAACGGCGACAAAAAGACCAATGAGAGTCGACAGCAAGAAGATTAGACATTCAGTCAGTTTGGTGACTAGGTTGTATTAATTAGTTACCCATGAGTACATGCAACTTGACTTCTAAATGTAGGCGGTCGGTTGTGATCATGGCCAGATGACTCATACTGCAAGAACCCAGCATGAGAACATGCTTTAACAACACAGTTAGAATAGTGTTTCTCAAACGGAGGGCCGTGAAGCAAAAGTGGTTGCAACCTAAATTTAGGGCATTTTAGAGCGGACTGTATAATGCATTTTTATTGCATTATACAGCAGGACAGAAATGGCTCAGCCAGTGTTTTTGTTTTTAATTTTATCTCTTGTCTAAACTCTTATTCTCACAAGAAAAATATTTTATTAACTGTGATTGTCCTGAGGGTTTATTTATTTATTTTTCTACATATAGCTATTGCTTCAAAACATATTGCTATGTTATTAAGCATAATTAAATTAATTAACTTAAAGCTTGAAGAAGTGATTAATGAAATCATAAAAGAATACATATAGATCATTTTAAATCCTCAAAAATATATGTAAAATAACTTTTTGCTCTCTGCTCCATGTGCAATTTGTAAAACATAAAAATAGAATGGTTTGTCAGGTCTCTCAACTGATAGTAATTTAGATACAGAATTCAAATGGAAATGAAATTAGTCAGTAATTTTATGCACAAAGACCTTGAAGTGGATTGGCATTCATGTAACAAACAAAAACCCTACTGATTTTGTTTGAGGCCAAGAATGAAGAATGAGTAAATAAAAAAACGGCTACAGTTTAACAGCCGTTCCACAGCTGTCTGAGGACAAAGAGAGGCGAGGCACCAGCAGGGTTTGAAGGTGAAGTTTGAGCAGGAGACAGGGAGGCGTAAAGAGGAAGTATGGAATGGTTGCTGTTACCTCCTCATCAAACACCAAAGACCTGAGTGGCGGAAGCAGTGTAACCTTCACACAGACTCTGATGTCTCCATTAGGACTGGTGTGTAGGCGATGTGCCACACTGGCACACCTACCACTGCTCTATTCAAACTGAAGGATGCTTAACTAAAATCTTTTGTATTCCCCACCTTTGACTATTTGTTCTGCAAAAAATCGCAAAGGAATAAATATATATTGTGTGACATCTTTCCAGTGATTTGCTAAATTTTTACTGTAAGTTTTTAATTTCCTTCAATTAAAGAACTTTTTGATAAAAGTATTAAAATCTAATACAGGCATTTAGCTATAACTTACTAAACAATCACAAGAGATTGAGAAGAAATTGTAGGTCATCTGTCTTATACACAGCACTTGCAAAAGAGAAAAGAGCAAAGTTTTGTGATTGTAAGACGTTCCAGAAAATCTTGATCCTGTCTTAAGTACTGAAAAAACTAAGGTTGAAATTGCAGTGTTTTGAATGAACCTGAAATACGTTGCTCTTCAAACAATTTAAGGCTTTAGGTCGGGGGTCTGCTAAAGGCTAAAGCTGCAAGCACAGATAAAGAGGGATTAGTTCAGGGCGAACATAATTACAGTGAAGAAGTTGTATATTTCTGTATTTACCTCAGAACCCTTGAACCTGAAATAACTTCCCTTTCTGACACTGTGGTAACTGCTCTATTCTTCCAGTTGATATCTCAACTTGTACTTTGTTGGTAATAGTACAATTTTATGTGGGGCCCAAATAAAGAAACTACTTTATAAAGCATCAAGACCTAAACTAAAACAGTATATTATAACTTGGCACCTGCACTTAGGGTTTTACGTTACGAAAAGAGTGAACAAGCTATCTTTCGCTTTCATTTTATTTTTGCTCTAATGCTGAGCTGAGGCTTGGTGTCCCTGCAGAGAGATAATGGAAATTATTATAGCAGAACCAATCATGTGTTGTCTACATAGCATTTTGATTTGTTATCGCTGCTGCTTTGCCAGTTTTATTTGTACCATAAAAGATGAAGCATAATGTGTGTCACAGGGGAAATGAAAACAGGTAATGTGGGAAATAAGGCAAATACCATGTGTGTGTGTGTGTGTGTGTGTGTGTGTGCGGTGTGCATGGTGTGTGGTGGTGTCTCTCTGAGAGCGAGCGGTGAGACTTTTTTTAACCATTTCAGCTTGTCGGGCATTGTTTGAGAGTAAAACCGTAGGCATAAATCTATGTTTCCCTCATGAGGGTTAAGCATCACATTGCTGAGTGCCCCTATAAACTACAGAAACACCGAGATGTGAGTGAGGTTGTTTATCTCTGTTTCATAAAGAAAAGAAAAACTAGCTAGACTGGTGCAGAGTCCACAGCCTGAAGGGAGTGTGAACCTGTCTAGACTGGCAATATTGTTACAAAATAAGAAATCATAATGACAACACATCCACTGCAGATGCATGCATGCAGCTCAGACTTGGCAAGAACAGTTGTGACAACACAGTCCAAGGAAAGGAAGGAAGGAAAGTGAACTACTTGTTATTGTGACACAGCTCACCACTGCACACAACAAAATGTGACCTTTGCTTTAAACCCATCACCAAAGTGAACAGTGGGCAGCTTTAAGCACCCGGGGAGCAGTGTGTGGGGACGGTGCCATGCTCAGAGCACCTCAGTGGCAACTTGGCAGCTGGTGGACTCAAACCTTCCAGAGCCAAGTCTGCTTTCTTAACCACTAAGTCACCACTGCCCTGCACACACCACTGCCACCACTGCCCTGCCCCATCCATGGCTGTACACTGTGTCTGGCTGACCCTACATGGTAAACACGGACATGATCCAAGATCCAACCTTTTTTAGTATGAATCTTGCTCCAAATTAAACACATTTTCTGAAGTAACCTCAAACTGTGAACTTTGTTGTCACAACGTCCTCCCATGATAGACTTCAAACTATGTTGTCTATGTTTTCATAAACAAAAACAAAGATAAGCATTACGCACAAACAGACAATGTTCAGCAACCCCTTCTCAGGACACAGCAGTGACTACAGTTCACGTGCACCGCCTATCGACAAAACCTCCCAAACCAGTTCATAACAAACCCTAACCACCAACCTAACCACTGGACCAGTGTTTTTCTGAGAAATTTGTTGACAAACCACTATGACATTTTGTAACAAGAACCAATATTCCCCTGAACAAAACCTACATATTTTTAAATAAAAAAATAATGATTATTAGATTTATTGGTTTGTATCTTCCTACTAGCCTTCATTACCCATAGGTTACAGCTTAAAGATAAGAATGACGCAAACAATTTTATGTGTAAATTAATGCCTCATAGGAGAGTATGTGGCCAAATCAAGACAAGTCAATCTCACTTAAGAAGTTGAACATAAAAATTTGGTATCATTAACATATTGCATATAATACACATAACACATATCTGATATAATAATACTTGATATTTATGTCCTTTAATACATTTTCTGGTTATTTCATATTTACAGCCACCGGTACATTGGAAAATGATTGCTTGCTTGTATTGTAGGCGTCACAGTTTGTACAAATGCCTCTGGAACTGGGGATGACTATGGCATCACAAAACACTTTCCATATGATGCTAGTTTGCATAAACTATGGTGTTGTATTTGACAATATAGGACAGCAACCTTTAACGTGCACTGCATTTGACTTTAACCATAATAATACAGTGAAAACAACGTCTTAAAAAGTACATTTACACCTAATAGTTACATATTTTATCTCACTCTTTCAAACATGAAAACAGTAAGATTGAAGTCATAATTACACTGCACGGTAGTAGTTAAAGTGTTGTTTATACAGACACCAGCTCCTATAGCTTTTAACAATCATCGCTGTCTGGTCTGTGTATAACACGGCAATTACGTCTGTTACACAGGTGCGTTTGAGCGCCAGTACGCAACAGGCAGCAACGAATGTTCTCATACAGAACCTCAGCTCAAATATGGATGTTAATACAAATGCCAAAGTCAACAGCTTTCAGAATAATTCGACTCCTACCTGCTTCTGTTGTCCAACGTTCGAATGTCGTCTCTTAAATTAACCTCGGTCGAAACGTTGATTCGTGACGCACGGTCTGTTTGACATTAACCCTGGGCAAGCGTGCTGTCGTTGGGTGTAAATAGAAAAAATATATATAAAACCATGTGTAGCGGGTGATATCGCCGCAGAGTCGTGGAAAGAAAGAGGCAACTGCTTCACAGTAGATTAAAAACAAAACCAGAGGCAGGGCAAAATGGTGAGGGAGGAGTTGGCGCACACAAGGCGTGTGTGCGTGTGTTACTGTCTGTGTAACCTCTTTAAACCTTATCGCTGACCTTGTCTGAACCAAACGCGTCGTAATTGGCAGAACGTCTTTACTGTGGTTCTGTTCAAGTCGAGGCTAGTATGCTAACAGTGGCTAATTTATAGTTTTAGACATACATACATACTCGTTACCGTTAAACAATCATAATATTTTATTATTATCTTATTTATTTTTTATATTTTATTTCTAATGACTAAATACGACGTAACACTCTTTACTTGTGGTTTTTGATAACGTGACACTTGAGAAACAAATTTAAATACCCCTGCATGGTAAGCCATGCAGGGCTAAGCCTCTCGTTCTATCTTGTCTGACTTCAGGTGGAAAAAACAGGGAAAGTTTTATTTTAATTTTTTAACAATGGGCGCTGGATTCAATTACATTTGTCGCGGTACAACAGCAAGTGGACTAAATATGTTAAAATGTTGTGCATTTACTGTAAATCCTTTACGTTAACCGCCTACCACGGAGTTAGGACTTCATTAAAAGTAAAACAGCCCCCTCTACTGGTGGTTTTGATGACCAAAGGCTAGTGCGTGATTTGGAACAGTAACGAGTCACAAACGCAGAACAAAACAATAATTCATCAAGTAAAAAAAACATTTATAAAAACTAACAATAGTAAAAAAAACATTTATAAAAACTAACTAAAAACTAACTTTTACTTGTGTTCACAACATTAGCGGTTAATGAAGTACAATGAGGTATTTATAAAAATGCCATATTTTCAGTCACATAGAGTCAGTCAATAACTCTGGTACATTTAGAAACAAACTTCACAGGATGCAGTCTGACAAGAAAACAGCATGACAATTACAAACAGCATTATTTTTTTGATCAGAAGTATTGAAGTCTTTTTTCACGTATATTTCCCTAATTACATATGTATTAAGACATAGATGTGTTTAACAGAACAACCTTAAATATGTGTTTGAACACAGACAATGTGACATGGTGAGTAATGCAGCTTATTTCTGTAAGAACCTGTAGAAACATCAGATATGGCAAAGAAATACAATCAATATCAATAAATAAATGTCACTAAAAAAACGATGTTCCAAAGAAGTACCAAAAGACTTTAACTTGTATTACTTAGAATAAATGGAAGAACCAGGCATACCCAGTTAGTATCATGATTCTGCTGGCTCTTTTTACCACTGTTCCACATTGTCCACATAATCCTCTATTGTGCCATTCTCATCCAAATCCCACCACTCTGGGAGTAGCATTTCTGACTCGGCAGCTTTCTCCCTCTGTTGCACAGTCACTGCTGAGTGGCTCTCAGTCTGATGGGGTGAATCTGAGGGCTTCAGCAGCCTGCCCTGCTTTGTTGCAAACCTTCCACGCAGCCGCCTTCTCTCCTGCTGACGCCTCTCTCTGGCTTGTCTGCGTTCCTGCTGCCGTGCCACCTGGAAACGCTGCAGGAATAGATCCCTGGCATACTCATACAGCTCCACATCCCATCGGTTTAGCTCACGGATTCTGTGTTGTTTATCAGCAGGTATGTCAACACTAGAGGCACGTGTGCCATTTAGCTGTGTGAAGGGTGCAATGAATTCCAAGTTGAAGGTTCGCTCAAAGAGATACTGGGTCTTACGCTGGTACTCTGTCAGACCAAAGAAGGCCATGTGCCGTAGGTTACGCTTAGCACTCTGTAGAAGTAGTGCCCAGCGTTCTTCTTCGCTCATGGCAGACACGTTGTAACAACCAACGAGGCTGAGGTCAGCAAGCATGCGGGTCTGTCGGTTGTTGGCCAGATTATAGGGACAGTCTATGAACTCCTGCAGGGAGCAGCCTGACCAGTCATCTCCAGAGTAACAGCTTGGCAGCTCAGACAGCGTTGGTGAACGTCCATCACACACATGTAAGGAGGCTTTCCATGTAGCTCCACGCTGCACGTGACGCCACTCACTCAGATATCGCAATACCGGCTCTCTTAGGATAGTTATATAATAGTAGTTTCTTCTACAAAGGAAAAAAAAAGATTAGATCTTACATTTAGCTTATGCATCTATTCCTGAAACATCATTATTTGCATTGTCATAACCCATATAATATAATGTGAAAACAGACCGGACTAATGGTTAATTTACTTTAGTGCAGGGCTCGAATGTGAACAACATCTAAAAAAAACACAAAGAACGAAAAGAACAAATAAATGTTTAAAAATAAGGTTGCATGACTTACATTTGAAGAAAAAAAATCTGCCTACAGACACTACTCTCTAGCAGACGTTTCAGTCGTCGGAACTGAAGAAGCCTCTTGGACTAGAGGTGAAAGGTCGTCTAGAAACCAAGACAGTCCAGTTGCTTTATACTTAACGGATTCGAAGCGACTCATCGCTGCCTTATTCTCATTCTCAGTTAACTAAAGGACATGTGAGGCTTCTTGTCCTGATCATGATTCTTTTGTGTAAGTTATAGGTATCAGTGATGATCATTTTGGATAAAACAAACACATAAATATTGTAATTTAAAAAGTAATGTACACAAACCTGGGCATGTTTTGGGGAGCATCTTTAGTATCCATGCGTGAGGGCACACACCTGGTGAGCTCAGTCCAGTCCGCATGAAGCCCACAGCTCCAGCCCGTGGAAAAGCGAGAAAACAGCCAGGTTTCCTTTTTACCTGGCCGGAAACAAGTACATTTCTTTTGCCCCGCGTGACACTCACACGGCCTCTCTAGCTGTATATTCCTCACCAGGTGTCGACCAAAGGTGGTGCCGCCTGTTTTCTGAATGTGGAGGAAAACTATAACATCATCACCTTTGATGTTGAAGTCCACAACACGATTTAGATCGGTTTTGGTGAAGTTAAAGCGAGGGACGAAGCGTACCAGAGCCCCGTCCTCTGCACTGTACGGATCTTTTTGCAGCCCGTCCCGAACTTCCGCGCCGCCAATCTGAGAACCTGACGTACTGGCGACTCCCAGCCAGGATCCTAGCCGGTGCAGCATGTGGCACTCGGACCTACTGGGACACACATATTGTACCATGATAACGCCAAAGAGCAACGACATAAGCAGGGCGATCAGGAGACGCTGATGGCCGATGCCGCTGGATTTCTCATCCATCTTCCCAGGAAGAACAGAAAAACATCACTCGGGTCCGAACCCCTGCCTCAGCCGGGGATCCTCAGGAGCAGTGTTTAAACGCCCTCCCCAAAAAGAAGCTAAAACACCAACGATGCAGTTTAAGAGCTAACGTTAGCCAGTAGCTAGTAGTTTGTTCGGTGTAAAAGTAAAAGACGGGAAATGGGAAGTGTGAAATAGTTGTGTATCTTCAGCAGCAGAGTAGACAAGTTCTATTTGCAACAACTGATTTTTTTACTACCAGTAACAAAGTTAAATTATCTGTGTGGCAGCAGTCGACTGTGGTGTAGCCTGCAGATCTCGACCTTTTTCCCATCAGCCACTGCGTTGAATCAAACAGTGACGTAACATCCAATTACGGAAATACAAAGCCACAAAGAGAAGAAACGTTAATGTTGAAAACAGTAATTTTTGTCATGATTTGTGTGCCCAATAAATAACGGAATTATATTGTACGTACATGCGTAGATTAACAAAACTGTTGTGTCCAAGGGATGAATTTTGTTTTTTCTGAAAGTGTACAGAAAGGTATTTTGAGAGGTAATCGGAACCATGCAACATTTTGTCTCAAGAAAAGGTAGCAAAATAATTAAAATAACAACAACGTTACAACGTTCTTATTCATGCATTGAAGTGTGTGCATCACACGCCGAAATAGCTCAGTTGGGAGAGCGTTAGACTGAAGATCTAAAGGTCCCTGGTTCGATCCCGGGTTTCGGCATTTTGTTATTTGTTTTACCGTGGCCTTTCAATTAACATACTTCGTTTATGTGGGTCAACCAATATCTCAAAAGCTGTATTTGTCAATTAAACATACGGGATCTGCCACTGATTCAATTCGTAGTCTTTCTGCAGTGATTTTCCCATATTTATTAGTGATTTTTCTGTGTACTTTTTGAAGCAATGATCATAGTGATCATTGCCATTGCAGTTAAGTAACGATATGTATAGCTTTCGGAAACTGGAGCAGAGTGAGACG